TTGAGAAAATTTGACGAAATATTCAAGTTAAAACCCAAGAATTATAGTATATTTTTTTATAACAATTTAGTGATTTTTGACTAGAAAATCTGACAAAAAAAAAACATTGTATAAGTCAAAACATTATATCATTGAGATACAGTTTTGGCACCATTTACAAAATAAAAAAAAAAGTAAAAGTTTGTTAAAAACTATTGTTTTTTGAACTACTTATTTACTTTACTTACTTACTACTTACTTTACTTTCTAAAGAAGTAACATCATTTTCAGCATAATTCTATAGATTTTTGGCTTGTTTTTAACATAATTTTACGAAATAATTGCGTTTCGAGCTGAAAAACGTGCTAAAACGCTAAAAAATGCAATTTTCGACTTTGTGTAGACTTTTTTTTTATTTGTTTTATTGAAATCTCGCAATAAACTAGATATTATAGTACAAAAACGTGCTTAAAAAAGCATTTTCAATTAAATTTCGCGATTAATATTTTCACGCAAATTACAAAATTCCCTCAAATTTCGAACCTTTGAAAACCAATATTTACTCAGGATCGCGACTCGAGAACAATTTCGCTAAAGACTATCATTATTAACCTCTAAACACGTTAAAATTTCATTCGAAAATGACTTCGAAGAATGTTTTAGTCAATAAAATTCTACATTTTAATAAAAATAAAATTAAAACGAGCCAAGGTTGGAACACTTATTGTGATTCATCGAATAATAATTATTGTTATTTATCTTAAATACTTACATGAATTCGGGGGTATGCGACATGGGGTTCGTCTTTGATTTGATGCGAGTCTCGGAACACCACGGCTCTGATAACCCCCCGAATATGCTCGTCGGGCCAGACCCCCAAAAGGATTCGTTGGGGCCGCCCTCGTCCTTTCGGTCGTAAATCTGCAAAAAAAATTATTAATTTTCAACCGTTTTACCATCTGGCGCAAAAATATTCCAAAATATTCCAAATTGAAACAACGGCATCCATAATTAGCGTCTTTCACCGTTTCCGGTGTTGTTGTTATTATTATTACTCCCAAATGTTGGCGTAATTGGGGGTCCATTGAATTTAACGAATTTTATTTGCAGTTGCCAGCTTAAAAAATTAAATTCACCTGATTCGAGTTAAATTTTTCCAATCAAAAGTTCTTTTTACATAAAGCCTAAAAGTTTTTAAAACAATTTAGTGATTTTTGACTCGGTAAAAACGGTGTTTTCAGCTTAATTCTAAAAAACACACAAGAATGACAACATTTTTGGTCAAATTCTGTGGTTTTTCGACTTATTATTACTCGTAACAAAATTTTGCCAAATAATTGAGTTCCTAGCTGGAAAACATACTAAAACGTTTGAGAAATGCAACTTTCGACTTATTTTTGTCTTAATTACGCTCAGAAACCAGTTAAATCAAATAAAACAAACAAAATAACTATGTCTAACTGAAAAATGTACTTATTAAAGCATTCGAGAAAGACAAAAGTAAATTTGGTGGTTTTTCAAATTAAAAAAAAATAAAATTTTTACGAAATAATGAAGGTAAAACCTAAGAGTTAAGTAAAAAAATCATATAATGTTTTTTATAATAATTTAGTGATTTTTTCGGCTTAAAAATTTTCTCAAACTTTCTAAAAAAGTAAAAGTGGCATCATTTTCGGGGTAATTTTGTGGTTTCTTGGCTTATTTTTCAGCAAAATTTTGCGAAATAATTGCGTTTCTAGCTGAAAAACGTGCTAAACGCTGAAGAAATGCAAAATGAAGAAATGCATTTTCAATCAAATTTTGTAGTTTATCAACTTATTTTTGTCTTAAATCGACTGAAACAAACAAAATAACATCAATATCCTTTGTTTTTAATTTTTTTTGTTTTATCTCAAAAACGTGCCCAAATACTAAAAAAAAGACAAAAAACGCCGTTTTTGGCCTATTTTGTTGTATTTATGGATTCTTTTGAACAAAACTTTAAAATATTGCAGTTTTTGATTTATTTCGTTGAATTCTTGGCTTGCTTGTAATGAAATTTTACGAAATAATTGTGTTTCTAGCTGAAAAAGCATTCGAAAAAGACGATTTTTTTTCATTTTTGACCCTGTTTAGTAGATTTCGTGAAAACCAATATAACCATTTTTAACCAGTTTTTGACGAAATAGTCAAATTTTTCATTGAAAAACGTGGAAAATGATCGGAAAAAAATTTAAACAAAATTTCTCGATTTTTTTTGTTTTAATCTCAAAAACGTTAAACACTAGAATAAGGCAAAAAAACGCCGTCTTGGTCTATTTTGTTAAATTTTTGGCTTGTTTTCACAAAATTTCGCAAAATAATTGCGTTTCTAACTGAAAATTCATTTGAAAAAAAAAACAAAATTAAATTGTCATCTTGGGCTCTGTTTTTTTTTAGAATATTTGTCGAAAAAGTCAAGTTCTTCTTTTCTTTCTTTTAATAATTTAGTGATTTTTGACTTGATTTGCCAAAATTTCAAAAAGAAACGGAGTTTTCATTTTAAAAATCTGCTTGTACTCTCAAAAAAGGCAAAATAATTTTGTGATTTTTCGGCTAGTTTTCAACAAAAGTTCAGGAAATAATTGTGTTTCTAGCTGCTAAAACGCTCGACAAATGCAATTTTCGACTTTAAATGTTGATTTTTTTGGATTTTGTGATTTTTAGGCATATTTGGATTGTTGAATGTTTGGCTTGTTTTTAAAGAAATTTTGCAAAATAATTGTTTCTAGCAAAAAATATTCAAAAAAGGCAAAAGTAAAGTGTCATTTTAGTAAAATATCGTAAAAAAAAAACTATAACCAATTTGGTCGTTTTTCGATTTTCTTTTAAGAAAATTTGGCAAAATAGTAAAGTTTTTGGTTGATAAACGAAGAAAATGCTCGAAAAAGAGTTGCAACAGTTTCTTTCGTTCCAAAAAATCACTGTCTATAAACAGCATATCTCGAGAACGATAAGAGCTACAAACTCGAAATTTGGAAGGGGACGCAGCACAAAACATTCGGTAAAAATCGGTCGCATATTTTATGAAAATCACCAATTTCAATTAATGATTAATGGCAGGTGTGGTAAAGTCTCACCTGATCTGCTGTCTGTGGAAGGCCTTAACATATCGTGAACAAAAGTTTTTGAATTTGTTTTGTTTTTATTTCGAAAACGTGCTTAAACACGCGAAAAAGGCAAAAATAACACCATTTCTCGCCTATTTTGTTGAATGTTTGGCTTGTTTTTAAAGAAATTTTGCAAAATAATTGTTTCTAGCTGAAGAAAATATTCAAAAAAGGCAAAAGTAAAGTGTCATTTTCGACCTTGTTTAGTAAAATATCGTAAAAAACAAATAAAACTATAACCAATTTGGTGGTTTTTCGATTTTCTTTTAAGAAAATTTGGCAAAATAGTAAAGTTTTTGGTTGATAAAGGAGGAAAATGCTCGAAAAAGAGTTGCAACAGTTTTTTTCGTTCCATATAGCATATCTCGAGAACGATAAGAGCTAGAAACTCGAAATTTTGAAGGGGACGCAGCACAAAACATTCGGTAAAAATCGGTCGTGATTTTTTTTTTAAATTTTATGAAAATCACCAATTTCAACACTGATTAATAAAAAGTCTCACCTGATCCGCCGTCTGCGGAAGGTCCTAACATGTTGTGCACTCGATTCGCGTAGAGAACGAACGTGGGATAGGGAATATCGTATTTTCTGGCGGCCTGCGACAAGGATAAGCCCTCCTTGAGCACCGAGAAGATTGCCTCGGCCATGGTTTCGGGTCGCCAGGATTTCAACGGCCCTCGTTCACGGAAGCGCAAGTTGTGTACAAGACTTTGATTCGTATTCCAGCATTTTTGCCACATGGATTGCAACTGGTATTGGTAGCTGTCTGCTGAAAGAAAAAGAAAACGATATCTACATTAGTATGCTGATCGACACTCAACATTATTGCCAAATTGGACGACTCACAAGGGAATTACATGAAAAAAAAATGAGTCGTACAGTTTAACACAGTTTAAAACAATAAAATCAAAATAAAATGAAAAAAAATTACCAGTTTGAAGGGTACCTGTAACATAAAATTTATTACAAATATTCGAGATTAATTCAAAGTTTTTTAATTGTGCAATTACCTAATTAGTTTTCTATTTAGGGTGGAGTGGTTACTACTCCAAGTTTCAAATTCCTGCTACCGCAGCAGGAATATTTATTTGATTTTACCTAATTTAAAACGAGAGTAGCTGACTTCTTTCCTGTTGCAAAAACGCAGATTTCGCCAATAGGTGGCGCACCGGGTTTAATTTAGAGTTAGGTTTGCTCCAACAAGAAATTCCCAACAGTTCATTACTTTGATTATTTAAAATTTCACATCAATTAGTGGTTGAAATAAGAGCACACAATTCAAGATTTTTTATGCGTTGTAATTGGGACTTGTCTCTTTATATAATAGTCCTGATGTTGTTTTAATTAATAAAGAATGAAACTTGTCTCATTTCGTCCCTGTAACATTGGCCTAAAATCGCAAATACTGAAAATAATTCAGCTTTTGCAGTCACAAAAAATTAAGAAAAAACAGTTTGTGGTTACAAAAAATAAAACAGAAAATAGCTTGCAGTCAAAAAAATAAAGCAAAAGACATTTTAATGAAATCGCAAATACTGAAAAGTGAAAATTCTTCTGCTCTTATAATCGCAAACACAAAAATGGAGTAAAAAAACAAACTTGCAGCGACAAGAATTGAACAAAAAATCAACTTGAAGCCACAAAAAATTCCATGATGAAATCAAAAAGGTGAAGAAAAAGAACTCGCAATCACAAAAAGGTTAAAAAAATTAAAAACAGTTTGAAGTCACTAAAAATTGAAAAAAATATCTCGATGTAACCGTAAATTATAAAAATTATTCTGTTTTTGTGCTTGCAGTTACAAAAAACTAAACAAAAAATTTGCTTTCAGTTACAAAAAAATATGTTGATTGATGAAATAAAAAATTTTCAGGGGTCACAAAAATAAATAAATAATATGATGATATTCTGCTTTTGTGTCAAAAAAAAATACTTTGATGAACTCAAAAATTCCAGGAGTCACAAAAAAACGAAAATTGTTTCGTTTTTGTGTTTGCAGTTACAAAAAATGGAGCAAAACATAGCTTGCAGTCACAAAAATCCCTTGCAGACAAAAAACACTTTACAGTTACAAAAAATTAAACAAAACACAGTCTGAAGTTACAGAAAATGAAACAAAATGCAGTTTGTAGTTACAGAAAATAAAGCAGAAAACAGTTTGCTGTCACAAAAATTGAGCAAAAAACACTTTACAGTCACAAAAATGGAGCAAAAAACCAGCTACTCTCACAAAAATTAAATAAAAATTAGTTTGTAGTCACAAAAAAATACCTTAAAGAAATCAAAAATTTCCAGAGACCACAAAAAGGTGAACAAAAATAGCTCGCAGTCACAAAAAGATAAGACAAGAAACAGTTTGTACTCTCAAAAAATTGAATAAAAAATATCTTGATGAAACCGTAAATACTAAAAATTATTCTGCTTTTGTGCTTGTAGTCACAAGAAATGAAGCAGAAAACAGCTTGCAGTCACAAAAAATTAAACAAGAAAGTGCTTTTAGTCACAAAAAATACTTTGATGAAAACAAAAATCCCAGAGGTCACAAAAAAACGAAAATTATTCTGCTTTTGTGCTTGCAGTCACAAAAAATTACTTGTCACAAGAAATGAAGCAGAAAACAGCTTGAACAAAAAGTTGCTTTCAGTCACAAAAAATACTTTGATAAAATCAAAAATTTCCAGGAGTCACAAAAAATGACTTCATGAAATCGTAAATACTGAAAATACTCTATTTTTCTGCTTGCAGTCACAAAAAATACTTTGATAAAATCAAAAATCCCAGAGGTCACAAAAAACAAAAATTATTTTGTTTTGTGTTTGCAGTCACAAAAAATGGAGCAAAACATAGCCTGAAGTTACAAAAAAATCCCTTGCAGTCAAAATAATTCAAGAAAAAATACTTGATGAAATCGCAAGTACAGAAAATTATTCTACTTTTGTGCTTTCGATCACAAAAACAGCTTGTCACAAGAAATGAAGCAGGAAACAGCCTTGTAGTCACAAAAATGTAAACAAAAATTTGCTTTCACTCACAAAAAACGAAAATTATTTTGTTTTTCCACAAAAAATGAAACAAAAAAAATACTTTAATCAAATCTCAAATAGTGAAAATTATTCTGCTTTTGTGGTCGTAGTCACAAAAATAGTTAAAAAACACCTTACAGTCATAAAAAATGAAGCAAAAAAAAACACAAAAATAGCCTACAGTGAGAAAATAAGCAAAAAATCGTACGTTAGAACAAAAAACAACGAAAAGTAAAAAACAATTGTTTTATCTATAAATAGTGAACGGTTCAGAATTCTTATCGGAACAAACCAATTATTTGCAAAAATTTAGTTTTTCTTTATTAAATTCATAAACTAAAAATACGCTTTAACGTCGCTATTTTCTCTCTTTTATCGTTATTATTTTACGACTTTGCGGGAAAAGGGAGGATGGAAGGTTGAAAAACTTAGACTTAGTCAATAAACTGAAATTTTATTATAAAACGCAACTTAAACATAACTGAGATGACTATAAAAATTATTCAGAACGTTCAACAGTCACTCATTGTTTTATTATCTTAATTGGTTTTTTTATTAAAATTTATCATTTAATTGTACTAATTGGAAAAGATTAAATAAATTACTCCAATTATTGTTAATAATTGTTTATTAAGAGTATGATTATTGGCAAAATAATTCGAAAAGTAACATGGTCTCAAAAATAAAATATTTTATCCTAAAAAAATTATTGCTAAAAATAAACCTAAAACTAAAAAAAATCATTATCAAGTAGTGAAGGCACCATATTGAGAAACAAAAGCTGCCATAACGATCGATGCATGTGTCCGACTTAAATACGTGAGAAAATAAGTTATTAATAAAAATAAAATAGAACTAAACTAATAATGAAACACAATATCGCATGTTGAATATAATAATATAACACGCATGGTATAATAGCCATGTAATTAGTTGCATAAATATAGCTCACTTGAACGCAAACATCGTATTATTAATAACAAAGTAACGTTAATAAAGGATGCAATATGTACAAATAAGGCTAACAAGTAAAAAAAATAATGATAATAATTATAGGAATGGAAGGAAGTACAATTTAACTTTATAAAATTCATTCATAAATCAACTCAAATTCTGGGAACCCCCTATTTACATGGAAAATATTGCCCCAATTTATTGCTAAATTAAAGAGTATTGTTTAAGGAATGCATCGAACCGTTATTCTCGTAGTAGAGCGACACAATATTGTGCTTTTTACAAAACGCCCACCACCACCGGAACCCGGAAAGTCCGGTGAAGATAAACTCCGGGTCTCGAGCGCGTCTCAGTTTCTCCACGAAATTCAGCACTGATTGCAGGGATTTTTTCGTGCGTCTGTTGTAGGGAGAAACTGAGACGTCACAACAGAACTCCAAGACCGCCGCCTCCTCGGAGGGGGTCAATCCGGCCTCCTCCAACACCGCCATCCGCTTCGACTTCCCTAGGATATTATCGTACAAAGTCCCTTTTGGTATACCGTACCTGGCCGAAGCCTGCGTGAAACGCATTTTTTGCTTCACGACGGCGTCTATTGCTTCTTTGAGCTGTTCTTGGGTCCATGTTGGGGTTTTAAGTTTTAGTAATGTCGGATAATCTGACCAAAAGAAACAAAACGTGCTGGGTTAGAAAAATCATCATGCAAAACTTTCTATTTTGGGTTTATTAAATTGAACAAACGTGCAATAAAATCCATTTTTAGACAGCGTTGTTCTAAATTAAATCTCGTGTTACTGCATGAAATGTAAGTAAATCGTATTTCTGGGCTTGTCGTTTAGTGGCACGTCAAGAAACACATAAAAGTGCAGATTTACTGCCGGAAAAATCAAACCCACGGCATGGCGAAACCACAATTAGCACAAATGTGACCCTTGCGAACTAATTTGTTAAGTTTTACCGTGAAAAAAATTAATAGAAAGGGGAAAGCGGACCGAATTGGACCAGCTGGCTTGTTCCTTATCTAAATCGCAAATATTTACATGTCAGTAAAGTAAACTTTTTTCAATTAATTCAAAAATAATGACTACCAACAAAATTAAACCAACTTTTTTACGTCCGTTTAAAAAGTGTAAGATTTTTTCTCCTTCTTAATAAACTCACTTTCAACTACTTTTTTTTTATTAAAATAAGTTGCATTTGAAAAAAAAAAGAACTAAAACGCCCACCAAATTACATAAACTTCACTATGTTGTTCAAATTGGTCACTATATGAATATTTGTCACAAAAAAACAAATGTTTCGTTAAATAAATATTGTTATTTAAAATTTTGAATTTTGAAAATTTTTCCTTTTTAATTTTATGCAAAATATTGGATTTCGCAGAGACACTCGTCGGGGGCGTAATGGTTTTTGAAAGAAATTGATTTTTTTTACTATAAGTTTCTCTTCTCGTAAAAAAATTACATACACAAAAACTAAGAATAGATAAAAAACTGATTCAAATATTCTTCTTGAGATCTGAGAAGTCTCTATAAAGTAATCAAAACGTTGTGGAAACACAAAAAATAAATTTAAGAATTTTATGATTTTATAAACAAATGCATTTGAGCAAAGATACTGGTTGGGGGCGCGGTGACGCAGTGACATTCTGCTTACGGAGTTTGAATTCCGGAAGTTTTTGAAACAATTTGATTTCTTAGACGAAAAAAATTATTACACAAAAACTAAGAGTAATAAAAAATAAATAAGAAACTTAAGAAAATTGATACAAATGCACCTCTCGGGGTCTAAGAAACTTGGAAAAAGTGAATAAAACATGGTAAAAACACGAAAAATAAATTTAATTTTTTTTTATAAACGAATGCATTAGGGATAAGATACTGGTCGGAGGCGTGATGGCGCAGTGACATTCTGCACTCGGTAGATAAATACATGGTTTAAATTCCGGAGAAGTTTTTGAAATATTTTGATTTCTTAGACAAAAACTTACTCTTTTTAAAAAATAGTTACAAAAAAAACTAAGTGTAATAAAAAATAAAATAAGAAACTTTAAAAAATCATACAAATGCATTTCTCGGAGTCTAAGAAACTCAGAAAAGTGAATAAAACGTGGTAGAAACACGAAAAATATTTTTTTTTATTTTTTTATAAACGAATGCATTAGAGCAAAGATACTGGTCGAAGGCGCGGTGGCGCAGTGACATTCTGCTTCCGGCAGGTAAATACAGGGTTCGAAATCCGGTAAAGTTCTTGAAATATTTTGATTTCTTAGATAAAAAATTACATATAAACTAAAAGTAATAAAAAATAAAATAAGAAACTTAAAAAATAATTGATACAAATGCACCTCTCGGTGTCTAAGAAACACAAAAAAGTGAACAAAACGTTGTAGAAACACGAAAAATAAATTTGTGAAAATTTTTGTGTATGAATATGTTGGATTAGAGAAAAGACACTGGCCGGGGGTGAGGTGGCGCAGCAAACCTCGTTAAAGTCAGCAATTTTTCTTCAATCAACGTAAATTTCTTTTCTCGGAAAATTGAAAACTTCAAATTTTAACTAAACAACGTTTTTTGCACTTCTAATGGTCGAAAAAAGTGCATAAAACGTTTCGAGTTTGCAAAATATTGAATTTTTACGCAAATCGTAAATTTGTTTGTTATTCATTAGAAACATTATTTAAAAGAAAATTGTATTTATTCTGATATTTTGTATAAATTTTCGAAAAAGAAAGCATTAACCAAAATTATTTTACCCAGTGATAATTTTTTTTATTAAATTGTCCTTGTTTTTGTTTTTTCTTTTCCCTCTTCTTCTTTCTTTATATTCAGTGTAAAAAAAGTCACCGCATTTTGATTATAGTTGTTGACAACTTGAAAAAAACTAATCAAAACGAAACAAATCCTATTTTGACAAATTTTATTTCGAAACGTTTCGAGGTGATTATCCTCTTCATCAGGTCCATTGACCCATTTTTAGTTGAGTGTCTTTCCACTCATTTCAATGTCTTAGTTAAGAAAATGCAAATATAAACAGTTTTTTTACTACATTTTGTTTTCACAACTCGAAACTTAAGAAAATTGAATTTTTATTTTTCTGTTTGGGACAGGTTAGGTGGTCCAACGTGGGCAGCTCTCCCCTAAGCAAAAACTCCGAGCAAATTCTAAAGTTGCGCTCTTAAAAATATGTGCATCAAAGTTGTTGAAAGTGTAGTATATTTTATAATCCCGTTCTTATTATTTTTTGCGTTCGTGCCAAGTTTCTCCTCCGAAAAATACTTTTAAAAATAAGAAAGGGTCATATATATTGAAAAATATTACGAGGTTATTTATTACAAGAAACTGGAAAAGTTTAGGAAAACAGCACAATAAAAACTATTAACAACAGCAAAACACACATAAAGCAAAACGAGAAAACTTATCTAATAACTAATTCTTCAATTTCTCAACTTTCGCATTTTTCAGTTCATCATCACTCGAGTTTTCAGTTTGGACCTCGCTGAAATTTTAATACGTCTGAGGATCCACCACCACACGACCACACCTCTTTATTTTACATAAAATTCATTTACCAACCTCCTCTATACACCGCAATAATATAAAATGTTCCTACGTGATTTATTTGCTAATATGCATAATGCGAGGCTATAACTCATTTTACACACTAAATTAATACACCAGACTTGATTTATAAACCCCGAGATGATTATTTTCATCAAGTTATATCGAACCGAATCAAAATAAACAAGAATAACTCGACTTTTTAGTAGATATTTAAAATTTATTTAAAAATCTCAAAATTTCTATTAGACAGTTTATTATTTATATCTTCGTATATTAAAAAAAACACATATTGCATTTTTTTACGCAAATTTTTACTTTTAATATCTCTTTTT